CAATTATGCAAACACACACATAATAAGTATATATATATATATAGCTTGTAGTCTAGATCCTGTAGAATATGCATGCAAAATTTTCGTGTTTTCTGATTTTTGCTATGTCATTATTATTTATTAAAAATTGAAATTCAATTATTTCAATAGGGCCTAGTACTAGGCCACAAACCACATAGTCAACCAACCCCGTTATTCCATTTAAAATTAAGATTTAGGTTTAACAAATTTGGTTTAACGGGGTGTATTTACTATTTATTTGGTTTAACAGGGTTGAATATGTAGTTGTGTATTTTATTATTATGTTAAATTCTAAAATAAAACCATCCGTTTTACTGCTTTGGAAATAAATAATATTTTTTTATATAAAATATCTATTATAGTATGATCAATAAAATATTTAAAAAAAATATAAGATCATCATTAACGATATTCTAATTTTTCCTTTTTAAATATATATGTATACCAATAATTAATTCTATCTAATTGAATAGTAAAACTAAAGCTAATATACAATATATAAGAATGGTCGATGTTTTTTATGCAAGATATTTCCTTATTTGTATTTCTTTGGTGAAAATTGACAGTGTTTTTTTATAACACAGACTTTCCATTCAAACTTAACTTAACGTCAAAAAAAAAAAAAAATAATGATAAATGATAATAAAAATAAAAATAATTGATTAGAACGTAACACCCGCACTGAATTTTCAACACTAATTTGTAGTGTTTATGGTTATGGTTATTTACTTACAAATTTTTCTGACAACTGAGTATTCAAAAAGTTGTCATATTACAGAATGACCAAACTATTTACAAACAACATCAATAGTGCATATATTGGTTATATTATTCATTTATTCGAATTTGCCAGTTAAAAAATTTCATGTGATTAAATTGACCGATCAATAAAGCAAACCGTTAAAGAATATTTCTAGTATTTTCCGCGAGGATTAATAAATCTTGTGGAAATATTTATTTTTATTATTCAATGATTAATTGCCAATTGTCTGATTATCCAATCGTCAAATATTTTCTACCATCGATATTAATTAAAATATAATGAGAGATATGTATTCGATTAATTAGGTTAGTTTATTCATTTACTATATATACAGTGCAGGACACCTAATCCCGCAACTTACTGCGCCACGACGACGAATTTTGGGAAAAAATTTCCAATC